CCGGAGGGCGGCTTCCTGGCTGTCAAACCGCAGCGGGAGCGAGGGGCACAGGGTGTGGAGTCCTTCTTCGGGGCACCCCGCAAGCGCAAGAGGAGAGGGTGAGCTCCACCTTGTTGCAGAGTTAGGGACCTGTCTGCGCCGCCCTTTGTGGGTGACAGCGGATTCCCTTCCCTCGGGGCAGGACAGAAGGGGTGCTCTACCTGGATTAGGAAACTTGACCTGTAGGCTTCCCTCCCGGCTCCTGCTTACACTCGAGGGGACACGTTCGTGTCGCACGCACGTCCGTGTAGCGGGACCTCCTCACCCCGCTGGGGTGTCCCCAGCTGCCGCTTAAAGTAGCTTTGCCTTGAACAGATTGCTACAGCCTCCCCGGATATTCTGCGGCCTGAGGACCCGGCATCACGGAGGTCCCACAGGACGTCTTCCTGGTTTTGCATCGCGAAAGGGCTTCTCCGGAATTGCTTTTGAAGTCTCATCTTGACAGCCGCTAGCTACAGCGGTTGCATGCGTGTCCAGGCCTCTGGCGCTCTTGGAAATCTGTGTTTCTCAAGTTGGCATTACCCACAGTGGGGCTGCTGACGTCAGACAACTGAACCGAAGCCCCCGGTGCATGGCCTGGGAGTAGGAGAGGTGATGAACTGCTGAGAAGCGGTGCAGAGGGGAGCACCCCCCCATGCTGCCCTGCTTCCAGCTGCTGCGCATAGGGGGCGGCAGGGGCGGTGATCTCTACACCTTCCACCCCCCGTCCAGGTCAGGCTGCACCTATCGGTTGGGCTGCAGGGCTGACCTGTGTGATGTGGCCCTGCGGCCCCAGCAGGAGCCGGGCCTCATCTCTGGGGTCCATGCATTGCTGCACGCTGAGCTCCAAGGGGACGACTGGCGGGTCAGCCTGGAGGACCACAGCAGTCAAGGTAAGCGGTGAGCAGGCAGCCCCAGGATGGCATGAGTAGGGGAGCCTCTGGGACTCCATACCTGCCTCCCAGAGTCCCTGTCAATCTCTGGTAGAGCAGACAAGCAGGATCCGGTTTGATCTGCCCATGAGAGCTGTGCAGGACTAACCTGCCCGGCTGCTTTAGCTCACACAGGGCTAGGAGGGAGGCGCTGGGGTGTCATCAGTAAAGTGGACATTCTAGCACTATGCTCACACTTGACTCAAGTGTCCAGGGTTGCTGAACCTCCTTGTTCCCATTAAGGCGGTGTTCTAGTGACCTAGGCATTCCTTCCCAGCTCAAGGCAGCCTCAGAAGCCTGGCATCCACAGTTCTTCCATCCAGTTGCTACTAGGTCAGACACAAGCTCTGGAGAAGCCTAATCTGAGGTGTTTTATAACAGCCAGCAGGAGCATACCGTTGTGGGACAGGCCCTGTAGCGTTACATGAAGATGGCGCTGACACCGTTTACAGTCAAAGAGAATGAGAGCAGGAGGGAAGTTTGGCGGTGTGTGTACACTGTGATCTCAGCACTTCAGAGGCTGAGGCAGGAGGTTGGCTCCTGAGTTCCGGGCCAATCTAGGTGACAGATTGAAACTCTGTCCCAAAAGGAAAAGAAAGAGTGGAGGTGTTTAGCGGTAGGGTCTGCTCAAGCAGGATCCAGAGCCGGTAGCGGTGGCGGCTCAGGTTTTTAATCCCAGCACTTGGGAGGCAGAGGCAGGTGGCTCTCAGAGTTCAGGGCCAGCCTGGTTTACAGAGAGTTCCAGGACAGCCAGGGCTATTACACAGAAACCAAACCAAAAGAAGAAAAAAGCAGGAGCATAGTGAGGAAACTTCCCATTTGTGAGGCCTCAAGTTTATTGTCCCTGTCCTGGCCCCACCCTGAAAAACAAATGGCCAGCTCATGGTACCTCTCACCAGACATTTGTTTCTATTGTCATTTGTCTTGTGCCTTACCATCAACAGGGACTTTGGTCAATAATGTCCGACTCCCCAGAGGCCACAGGCTAGAGTTGAGCGATGGTGACCTTCTGACCTTTGGCCCTGAAGGGCAAGCAGGAACCAGCTCCTCGGAATTCTACTTCATGTTCCAACAAGTCCGGGTCAAACCTCAGGACTTTGCAGCCATCACCGTCCCTCGATCTAGGGGAGAAGCTGGGACTGGCTTCCAGCCTATGGTGCCCTCCCAGGGGGCACCCCAGCGGCCTCTCAGCACCCTCTCCTCTGCCCCCAAGGCCACACTGATCCTTAACTCCATCGGCAGCCTCAGCAAGCTGCAGCCTCAGCCCCTCACCTTCTCCCGGGGTGGTGGCAGACCACAGAGCCTGGCTGTTCCTACGCAGCCTGGAGAAGTGGGAGCCTCACCACCTGCTCCACCCACGAGAAACCGGAGGAAATCAGTTCACAGAGTGTTGGCAGAGCTGGATGATGAGAACGAGACTTCCCTGAGCCCTCTGTCAGTCCTCATGGAGCCCAGGAAGAAGCTCCGCCTGGAGAAAGCTGCCTTGGTGTCCAGTGGGTAAGTTGAGTCCTCAGTGTTAATCTGTCAGTACCTTACACCCGAGACTCCTTTTTATAGCCTGAGACCGGAGTCTTCAAGGCAGGGATGAGCAGTACAGATGAACTCTGGGTTAGCTTTCACCCATAAACTCAGAAGCTAGTTGTGTGAGCTTGGAAGAGTAATGGTTAGAACTAGACCAAAGCAAAACAAAACAAAAAAACAAAAATATCCAGGCTAGAGAGATGGCTCAGCAGTTAAGAGCACTGGCTGCTCTTGCAGAGAACCTGGCTTCAATTCTCAGGACCTACTACAGTTCTAAAGGATGCAATGTCCTCTTCTGACCTCTGTGGCCACCAAGCACATACAAGCTAACAAAATACTCATACACATAAAAATAAAATACAGGCCTGGCATTGGGGGCGCACGCCTTTAATCCCAGCACTTGGGAGGCAGAGGCAGGCGGATCTCTGTGAGTTCGAGGCCACCCTGGTCTCCAGAGTGAGTGCCAGGACAGGCTCCAAAGCTACAGAGAAACCCTGTCTTGAAAAACCAGTAAACAAACAAAACCAAACCTGGGGTAGGTGGCGGCGCAGGAGTGTCTCACTGGGACATTACTTGGCATGCACCTGACTTGCCCAGAGTTGGAGTCACAGTTGTGTAAATAAAACAGTTAATTCCTCAGTACTTGATAGTTGAGGTGGAAGACAAGATTTCCAAGCATGGGACCAACTTGACCCATACTAGAGTAAGCAGGTTAGTTACCCAGAGGCAAGGTTGTCAAATTACTCAGGAGCACCCCCGCTGTAGATGAGTGGGGAGCCCTGTGTAGCCCCTTGCTGCTACCCACTTCAAGACAGTAGCCTGGGTTTGCCCGTGATGGCGCCTGGTACATGACCTGCAATGGCTGTAGCATCCAGGCCATACAGGATGACATGTGGGCTTTCCAGGCCAGGAAACACAGATATGGTTCTGGGCCAGAGTAAGGAGAACTTAGGGGCTAGAGTGATGGCTCTTGTAGATGACTTATGTTCAGCTTACTCCAGTCCCGTGGGATCTAATGTCTCCTGGCCACCAGGCACACAAATACACATACTTACATACAGGCAAAACACTATAATTTTTTTAAAGAAAAGAATGGATGCTAAGAAATGTCTCCTTTCTCCAAAGGAGGGATTAACCACATTGCTACAGACTGACTAAAGGCTGGGGAACCCTCACGGCTGATGTGACAAAAGAGAGAGATGGTTTCCTGCTAAGGATGTTGCTGCCTTCAAGTTACCAGTGAGCTGGAATGCCCAGTAACAAGGAATCTAGCCCTGTTCCCATGGACGCCTGAGTATCTGCAGCTAGAGCAATCATCGCAGAAACCACCCGCAGACTTCCTTATGTCATGGCTAGCGCTGTCTGAGTCTCTGAGTGGCTTTCCATAGCCTTGCCTTTATAACAAAATAAACTGCTTCATCCACATAGGGGTAGCATTCTTATGAGTCTAAGCCCGCTTTCGAAATGATGGGAAGCCTAGACTTGGTATAGTCTGCAGATGGAATTCCCCACAGCAGAAGCACCTGTGGGAACCACATGGCCAAGGAATAAGATGGCTGTGAGTGTGAAAGCAATTGCTGCCAAGCCTGATCACCCACACTGTTGAAGGAGAGAATGAATGTTCACAAGTCGTCCTCATGCTATGGCACTCACTCAAGTAGTCACACATATATAAGTTTTGTGGTTTTGGGGAGGCAGAGGGGATTTTTGAGACAGGGTTTCTCTGTGGCTTTGGAGCTTGTCCTGGAACTAGCTCTTGTAGACCAAACTAGGATTAAAGGCATGCGCCACCACCCAGTTACATACAGTTTTAAAGTTGAGTATGGTGTGTGTGGGGGGGGGTGGGGAGTTGTCTGGAGAGATGGCTCAGAGGTTAAGAGCACTGGCTGCTCTTCCAGAGGTCCTGAGTTCAATTCCCAGCACCCACATGGTGGCTCACAACCATGTAATGAGATCTGGTGCCCTCTTCTGGCCCGTAGGCATACATGCAGGCAGAACACTATACATAAACAACTCTTTTTTTGTTTGACAAGGTCTTTTTTTTTTAATTTGCTTATTTTTATTACATATACAGTGTTCTGTTTGCATATTTTGCCTACACACCAGAAGAGGGCACCAGATCTCATTACAGATGGTTGTGAGCCCACCATGTGGTTTCTGGGAACCGAACTCAGGACCTCTGGAAGAGCAGCCAGTGCTCTTAACCCGAGCCATCTCTCCAGCCCCTGTACATAAGTAACTCTTACTACTATGTGTTCCTGGCCAGCTTGATCTACACAAGATCCTGTCTTCAATAAGAAACACCACAAAGGGTAGATTTCTGGTAAGGCCGACATAGAACAAAAATAAGTCTTCAAGACTGGGTTTTTAGTTGGAAGAGATGGCTCAGCAGTTAGTTAAGAGCGATGGATAGCATTTAATCCCAACACTGTAAAGGTAGAGGCCATCCTGGTCTACAGAGTTGCAGGGTAGCCAGACTACACGAGAGAAACCTTGTCTACAGGGACGAAAGCATCAGCTGTTCCTGTAAGAGGAACCAGGTTTGGTTCCCAGAACCCACATGGCTGCTCACAACTTACAAACTACAGCTCCGGGGGATTCAATACCCTCTTCTGTCACTTTACACACGGTGCACATACATACATATATACATACATACATACATACATACATACATACATACATACCAAAGAAAAATTGGAATTTTAAAAAACAATTTGGGGCTGGAGAGATGGCTCAGTGATTAAGAGCTCTTCCAGAGGTCCTGAGTTCAATTCCCAGCAACCACATAGTGGCTCACAACCACCTGTAATGAGATCTGGTGCCCTCTTGTGGCCTGCAGGGATACATAATAAATAAAAACAAACAAAAAAAACCCAAGCCGGGCACATGCCTTTAATCTCAGCACTCAGGAGGCAGAAGCAGGCGGTTCTCAGTGAGTTCGAGACCAGCTTAGTCTACAAGAGCTAGTTCCAGGACAGCCTCCAAAGCCACAAAGAAACCCTGTCCCAAAAAAACAAAACAAAACAAAAATCTAGGCCAGGCAGTGGTGGCACAAGAGTCAGGTGAATGTCTGAGTTAGAGCACAGCCTGGCCTACAAATCGAGCTCCAGGACAGCCAGGGCTGTTACACATAGAAACCCTGTCTTGAAAAATAAAACAAATCAGTTTAGCTGGCATGGTGAGACCCGCCTTTAATCTTAGCACTCCGGAGGGCAGCAGTAAGCAACACTCAAGGCCAACCAGTGAGTTCCAATCCAGAACAACCAGGGCTACACAGGGAAAACACTGTTCAAAGACTTTGTTTGTTTTAGTTTAAGCCCACTAGGACCTCGAGAATAGCATGGTGACTGAGGGATATTAAATGACTATTCCATCCGCTGGCAGAGATACGATCAATCTAAAACCTCAGCAAGTATGTAATGTCTTCCTCTATAGGTTGAATTCCAACCCAAGTATTCCTTTGGCATTTTGTAACCTCCAACAGTTTGAATGGCAGTTCTGTTTGAGGACTGCCTGGGTATGAGGATCCATTACTGGGTCTCTCTATCCCCAGGCTCTCTAGTAACTAAGGGAAGACACTAATTAAAGTTTAGTGATCTAATATGGCTCAGGCTTTATTGTTTAAAAACAAAATGATGACTGACAGACTCATAATCAACAGCATCACTGAACTTCTGTCTCCCTCTACTGTATTCTGTGCTTTCGATCCCCTCGGGAAAGGAACTTAACCCCAAAGCTGTGATGGTTCCAGGTTCTCTACCTCATTTCCCTTGCCTCAGCTCACCTCATCATCCCCAGGCAGGGCTGGTGCCTCAGTTTGAATGCATGGGAGAGCCCAGAGCAGTGATGGGAACAGAGGTTAAGGCCTCACCCTCAGGAAAAGGGACAGCAGGGTAGAAAGTGGTGAAGTGGGGGCTCCCATAGCTTGGGGCACCAAAATGGGGCCCTGGGGGCAGAGGGAAAGATACAGGCCCCCCTGGGAAAGGAGACCCGGCAGCTTCATACTCTTCTCGTTGGGTATAGTCGGTACTTGATCGTTTGCCCTTCTGGCGCCGGTTACAGAACCACACTCGGACCACCTAGGTATAGAAGACTGACGTTAGCTCAGGGATGCTGGAGCCAGAAGTGAGGAGGTGTACCACAGGTCAGGATCTGGGTACCACGGAACAGGGTCTGGGTACCCACATCCTTCTCCAACCCAAGCTGATCGGCGATGGCACTGATCTGCTGCAGACTGGGCTTTGGGCACTGTAAAAACATGTTCTCCAGGTTCCCCCGCACACGGTTCTCAATGCTCGTCCGCTTTCTCTTTCGAGCCTGCACCAGGGTCTCGGCTTTGCATATCTGGGCAGGGGAGAGAGGTTGACAGGGCAAGTTTAGGATTTGGCTGGTCAACACAGCTCCTCGTTGGTGTGTGACTTGGGAGCAAATTGCTAAGGGAGTGAATGTTGACTGCATGTGGCCCCCAACACAAAGTTCCATTGGGCTTGGACTGCTTGCCTGGGATGAGAGTGACCCACGAAAGAAGGAACCTGATTGGCAAATGTTAAAGCCCTGGGTTCCAATCCTCGGCGCTAGAAGGGGAAAAACCAACAACAAGACACAGGATCGCTGCCTCTAGTGGGAGAGGGAGACTCAAGGGAGGATTGGAAGCAGCAGGCAGGATTGTACCACAGGGAAGGCAATGTGCATGCGATATAGCTCACCTCCTGAAGGTTCTCGTTGTTGTCGGCTTCCTCCACCCACTTCTCCAGCAGGGGGCGCAGCTTGCACATGTTCTTGAAACTGAGCTGCAGAGCCTCGAAGCGGCAGATGGTAGTCTGGCTGAACACCTTTCCTGGGAACCAATCAAAGGGAAAGTGAGGTAGCATCATGGCCCCCTTCTCCTCAATGTCTAGTCCTCTCCCTCTACACAAGTGAGGGAGAGGTAACGCCTAAAACGCTCGCCCCTTGCACCTACACTGAGAGCTGTGACAGCTGTGGGGTCGAACGTACTAAGGGGAAACCCACCGAAGAGAACGCCCAGGGTAAGCCCCACGTCGGCCTGGGTGTACCCCAAGGTGATCCTCTTCTGCTTCAGAAGCTTGGCAAACTGTTCCAGTTCCTTCTGCAAGGCCTTCACATCCTGGGACTGCAGTGAGAAACAGGACTTAGGTTGAGAGTCATACTGTGAGCGGTCAGTCTCCGCCACTGGGACCCAGGGGGTTGGTCTGTGAAAAGATCTCAGCATCCCAGACTGCCCACTAAAAATGGTCTGCTTATGTAAATACCATTCACTCTTGGTCCCTAGGTGCCAGGGACCGCTTTTCCCCCATGCAACTGGCCACATTCGAGACCCAGAGTTCCAGGCATGGCATCACTTGTCTAGTATCCCAGGCAAATTCCCATCTGCTAACTAATTACCCAAAACAGCCCCATTGGCAAAATGTCATTATCCTAGTTTTCAGTAAGTCTTAAGTCTACAGAAATAGCCAGGGACTGTAGAGCAAGCATGCAATCCCAGCACTCCAGGGGCAGGCAGGACTATACAGATAGTCTCCTAGCTCAGAACAGGGGCCTAGAGAAAATAAACATCACCAGGTCCATTGGATTCTAAACCTATACCTTCCCCCAGCTTGAAGTTCCTAAACTATAACAAAGCACAAGTGGGGATATTGAACCAGGGACTCGTGCACTGCCTCGGTCTCTCAAGCCCTGGGTTAATAGGATCCCCCACACTCTGTTTGGCTCCTTTAGAAACCCACACACCACAGAGTAGACAAATGCCCCGGTCTCATGAGCTGACATTCCAGTGAGGAGAAATGGGAGTGCTGTGGAGAAAACCAAGAGGGCAGGATAGTGGGTTGTATAAGTGACCATTTGAATTAATATGGTAGTCAGCGAGTCAAATGAGCCTTGGAAGCTGAGTGAGATGTCACCAAACAAAATCTGACTCACATCCTAAAGTATGGATTTGGTGCTAGCCAGACAAACTTGAGTTTGATCCCCCCATGCCCACAGGTGCACAGTGGCAAACAACAAATGTTTGGTTTATCTTTTAAAGTTAAGGCCTGGAGGTGGTGGCACATGCCTTTGATCCCAGCCCTTGAGACGCAGAGGCAGGCGGATATTTGTGAGTTTGAGGCCAGCCTGGTATACAGAGTGAGTTACAGGACAGCCACAGCTACACAGAGAAACCCTGTCTTGGAAAACAAACAAACAAAAATAAATAAATAGTAAGCAAGGCTATGGCAGACAGTGGTAGTTAGGACCGGGTGGAGAAGGCAGAATGGATGGCCTGTTCACCCACGTATGAGTGGACGAAACAAATATGGCGGGAGACATTTCAGGCTCTAACAGAAGATGAAAAGAGAGGCAGTTGTTTGGTGGTGTAAGTGAGCATTGACGTAGGAGAGGGGCAGGAGCAGGTTGGCAGAGCAAAG